ACTTGAAACTCGGGTTGCCTCCCGAGAAGCGCTTCTTTTGATGGAGTCATTAGCTGGACTCCGCCCCGTCTACGTGTTTGCAATCCCGCACAGTAGCAACTCCTCCAATCCTTCATTTCGGGGGACACCTTCTTCATATTTCTTCACTCTATGACCATTGACTTTGAATGGTGTGCCGTCTCTTGATATCAACTCTATAGCCCCGTGTGGAAACACCGTCTTGACCAAAAAGGGACCATCCCACCTAGATTTGAGTTTGCCCGAGAAAAGTTTTAATCGGGAATTGAAAAGCAATACTTTTTGGCCTTCATGAATGTCTTTGCTCTTGATTCTTTTATCATGCCATCTCTTGGTCTTTTCTTTATAGAGCCACGAACTAGAATAAGCATCATTTCTGAGTTCTTCAAGGGCATTCATTTGCATCAAACGGTTGGTCTTCAATTCTTCTATATCGAAGTTGCACCTCTTTAAAGCCCAATATGCCTTATGCTCGATCTCAACCGGTAAATGGCATTGCTTTCCATAAACTAACCTATATGGTGTAGAACCAATAGGTGTTTTGAAAGCGGTACGAAATGCCCATAGCGCGTCATCCAATTTCTCCGACCATTCCTTGCGGTTGCTTCCCACCGACTTCTCTAAAATACGCTTCAAGGCTCGATTGGTCACTTCAGTTTGTCCACTAGTTTGTGGATGGTATGACGTGGAGAACTTATGGGTCACCCCATATTTCTTGAGCACCTTTTCCAATTGATCATTGGCAAAGTGTGTGCCTCGGTCACTGATTAGGGCCTTCGGAACACCAAACCATGAGAATAGTTTATTTAAGAATCGTACCACTACATGTCCGTCATTTGTAGGTAAAGCATGCGCCTCTGCCCATTTTGAGACATAATCGACCGCCACTAGTATGTACTTGTTTACTTTGGATGTGGGAAAAGGTCCCATGAAGTCAATGCCTCGTACGTCGAACACCTCGCACACTTGAATGCTATGTTGTGACATTTCATTTCGAGATGAAATGTTTCCCACCCTTTGACAAGCATCACATTCATTGACATATTGGGCTGCATCTTTGAAGATTGTAGGCCAATAGAACCCAATGTCAAAGATCTTCTTTGCGGTATAGTGTGCTCCATGATGTCCTCCCGTGGGCCCGCTATGGCAATGTTCTAGTATTCTTCGGCTTTCCTTCCCGAACACACATCTTCTTATAATTCCATCCGCACAGCTTCGGAAGAGGTATGGATCATCCCAAAAGTAATATTTGATCTCCGCAAAGAATTTCTTCTTTTGCTGACTACTATAATCCTTCGGGACATAATTTGTAGCTAAATAGTTAGCTATGTCTGCGAACCATGGCTCCTCTCCCACAGACATCATAATGTATTCATCCGGAAAGTCGTCTCCATCTTTATCTTCTTGCAATTGCGGGTTATCGAGCCTAGATAAATGATCGGCCGCTACATTCTCCATTCCTTTCTTGTCTCGTATCTCTATATCGAATTCTTGAAGAAGCAGCACCCATCGTATCAGTCTTGGCTTAGCATCCTGTTTGGAAAAAAAATACTTGATAGCCGAGTGGTCAGTAAAAATAGTGGTTTTAGATAAAACCAAGTAAGGGCGAAATTTGTCAAAAGCATAAACCACAGCTAACAATTCTTTTTAAGTAGTAGTATAATTCTCTTGGGTGGGGTTTAAGGTCTTGCTAGCGTAATAGATGAGTTGAAAGTGCTTATCAACCCTTTGACCAAGGACCGCTCCTAATGCATAGTCACTAGCATCACACATGATCTCAAAGGGTAAGTTCCAATTTGCTGCTATAATGATCGGGGCATTAGTTAATTGTTCCTTTAGAAATTCAAATGCCTCTAAACACTCTTTCGTAGAATTAAAGGGTGCATCTTTAAGTAATAATTGTGTTAGAGGTTTCATGATTTTGGAAAAATCCTTTATAAAACACCGGTAAAAACCTGCGTGTCCCAAAAAACTCCTAATGCCCTTCACATTAGTTGGTGGGGGTAATTTGGGGTTTCGCAACCCTACTCGCCAAGTCACCCTACTGACTCGCCGAGTTCATATATTCAGAATCCTTCTCTTTGCGTCTTGACTCGCCGAGTCTACCGATTTCTGAGTCCTGACTTGTCCAACTCACCGAGTCTCCACCAGACTCACTGATTCAACTCTCAACTCGAAGGGTTTGGGGTTTCGCAACCTGACTCGCCGAGTCCAAGAACAGACTCGCCAAGTACAAGGAAATCTTCATCTGACTCGACGAGCTGTTCATCCCACTCGTCGAGTTGCTCCTCACCTTCACGCTACTCGTCAAGTCCATTCAAATCCCCTTACATGCAGAGGGCTTTTGAGTCATGCATGGACTCCAAACTGTAGATCTACCCTACCCAAGCCTATTTCTCACGTAAATTTGCAAACGTTACATGTAGAGAAGGAGATCTAGGCAAAATACACCATAAACTAGGGTTTAAGGCAAAGAGGCTCCATAAACAACTCAAAGGCTGATACTTTATGCTTCTCAAGACCATAAAATGCTTAGATCTAAAGTAGCAACTTCAGATCTGGATTCTAACTCAAATGAATAGCAGTATGGCTAAAAAGCCCCAACAACCACACATAGATCTAGGTGCAAAAGACTCCAAGAACTAGATTATTACCTCCAAATGCTTAGAAATACTCTCACAATCCCAGATCTCTAGTCCTTTCTTGCACCTCCAAATTCCTTCTTCCTTCTCCAAGCTTTGATGCACCCTTCAAGGCAACAAATGGCTCAAATAATGGATATGGCGGATAAGGTTTGATGTTCTGGGTGAAAGAGGCAGTAAAGGAACCCTAGGGGAGAG